GTCTAGGCAAAATAAAGAAAAAGTGTTCATGATGAGGAAGTAAAGAATCCAATGACGAAAGGCTATTCTTCTTTATCCTTTGATCATGGAAATTATCCTTAGACACCCTTTTTGAGCCAAAAGAAAAGGCAATCGTCTAACTTATAAAAGCCTGACGATTTTATTTCTAAATTGTCCTACATCAAGAGCCTAGGGTGAGAAGAGTGTTAGTAAGGGGATTCAATGGGAAAAGGGAATTTTGAGCCATTTTATTCTTTCTTTCTAATTAGCCGAGCCTTAAACCACGATACAAGCCAATGTAAAGTCCTTATCAGAGGATTTGTAGCTTGCTCCTCTATGAACACAAAAAAAAAAGAGAAGAAGAAGAAGAAAAGAGAGAAGAAGAAGTGGGGCAAGGTCTAAGTTGAAAACCTGAAAGGGTGACTTAGGCTAATGACAGCAAGGAGATCTATTGCAAAGAGATAATCAAGAGGGAAAACATAGCAATGATCCATGAAAAGGGAACTAAGAACAGAGTCATTGACCTAAGTGTAAAAAGGGACATCTTTTCAATGAGTTGAGAAAGGGATGATATCACTATTGTGGAAGAATTGTTGAGCAAGCTTTTCCTGCCTTTTCAAAGCTTTCTTCATACCTAATTCATTGTTTCATTTCTCCTTAATAAATTTCAAAAATTCCTTTTCATTCTTCATTTCCATACTTTCGTTGGAACATTAAATAGTCCAAAACTTAATGCTTCATTTAATATGATTGTTTCATTCAATACTATCTTTGATACACTAAAGATTTGTGATAGTCACAGGAAAATTCGAAGCTATCTAATGTTTAGAAAAATGCTCAAGCTAGCAGAATAATCATTGCCAATTGAAGAGAAGAGATGAAGTTTGCATCTTAAAAAAAAAAAAAAAGAAAAAGAAAAAGAGAGAGAAGAAGAAGAAGAAGAAAGAAAAAGAAAAGGTGAAGTTGTGCCTTAGAAAATCACATCCTAGATGAAGTTGCATCTCAGGAAGAAGAAGGGATGAAGTTGCATCTCAGAAAGGACGAAGTTGCGTCTCA